TGGGGGCAGGTTTCGGGCGGCGGTGAGGACAGTCGCTTGGGAGCAGAATCTGGGACTCCGGCTGCCCAGACCCTTCTTTCTCCTCGGTGGCAACTAAGCTGTAAAGACAGGCCTAGCCGCTGGGGGAGGCTGGGGGGGCTTTCGGAAAGTATTTACGGTTCCTCTTCCAGAAGCCTGGGGGACAAAAGTCCTGCTCTGCCCCTGGGAGACAGGAAGGGCTCAGGTTTCTCTCTCTTCCGAAAATCTGTGTTGGGATTCAGGGAGGCTGCGGGATCTTGCCTGATGAGCCAGTGGCTGGCTATCGAACAAGATCTTTATTTTTGCTAGTAGAATACGCAGACTGGGAAAGACACCTGAGTGTCTGGGACAGTCGAGGCTACCGGGGGCAGGGCGGGATTTGAGAGCGAATATGCCTAAAAGGGAAAAAGAAAGAAATGTGCAACGGAGATTGGAGAGGGGCAAAAGTTCTCCTCTCCTTTTCCGGAAAGTCTTCAGTAAAATACCCATTTTTCTGGAATGCTTTGAGTTGGGTGTGTGTCTGAACACTAAGCCATGCCCCAGGGTGGACTCCGTAGAGCAGAGGCTCTTAAAGGAGCCAGCCACCCATCGGTACACATGTTCTACCAACCCATTTGCCCGTCCTGGTCGCTCGGTAGTTGTTCTTTTTTTTTTCTCCCCCTAGTTGAGGTTTCACCCTGTTGCCCTGTCTAGAGTGCAGTAGCTCAAGTGTGGCTCAACCACAGCCTTGACCTCCTGGGCCCCAGGCTATCCTCCTGCCTCAACCTCCCAAGTAACTGGGACTATAGGCATGTGCCACCATGGCCAGCTAATTTATTTTATTTTTGCAGAGATTGAGTCTTGCTATGTTGCCCAAGCTGGTCTCCAACTCTAGGACTCAGGCAGTCCTCCCACCTCAGCCTCCCAAAGTGCTGGGATTATAATTGTATGGGCATGAGCTACCCCACCAGAAGTCTGTGTTTCTGAAAAGACAAAGTCGGTGAAGTTAATCTTTACCTAAAGTATACATTTCTCCAAAACATATCTTCTACTTCTTCCTCATTGTGTCAGGGTTTAAGAACAAGATAAAAAATGACTTCCTGTTCTCAGTCTGTCCTTTCACCGCCAGTATTAGAACTTTGGCCCTTTTTTTCTTTGAGGGCTCCTAAGACCAATTCTCTGGCTCTATCATACCCAGGCAATTGGATTCAGGTTTGGAGCCTGAGCACTCACTTTGAAACCAGCCTGTTGGACTAGTTATAGCACTCTTTAGTGCTGTTTTCAGTTATTCCTTCTCCCCCAGTTGTCCGTTTGCCCTTGATGCCTGTTCAGTTTCATTTGCATTCTTGGCTTTCCCTGTTTCCCCCTGCCTCCTGCTTACTCTCACTTTCCCTGGCATCCTTCAGAGATACACAAGTCAGGAAGTTAGCTTTGTATTACCCACTTTCTCAAGAGGCATTTTGGTAGCAGTTAAGTCCTCTGCTAGGCCTCTAGGGAAATGAAAAGAGGGTGGCGTGATAGCGAAGGACATACGATTTCTGGATGTTATGCTGATTTGGCCTCACTGGGCCCGCTCTGTTCCAGTCTATGACCTATTTTAGATCCCTGGAAATGACACTTAATCAAGTTCCTTCAGTCACTGGTCCTGGTTGTTCATCTAGCATCTGCTTGTTCCACTGGGTTTGGTGGGACACTATTTCTTCTGTTCTTGTGCCCTATAGGTCAGTAGCCTGTCCTGTCAACACAACTCACAGTGAAAGTGATGCCTTTTCTCCATTTGCACAAAATGAGTAAGATGTGGTTGACCAGACCACGAGCTCAACCTCACACAGAGTCCAGGTAGGGATGGGGCCCTGCTACTGGGAATTAGCCCTGAGGAAAGCAGGACTGGGGTGGCAGCTGGGGGAAGATTTTTTTCTGTGTTGAGCAAGTCAAAATTTATTAGAAGATAGGAAAGCTCCCGGCAGCAGGAGGGGACCTGAAAGAGGGTTGCCCTGGGGAAAAATTTATGTCTCCTCTAAATGTGAGGACAGGGGCTCTCCTAAAGGACAGTCATGATGCTGCCAGTAGTTTGTGGGAGTGACATGTGCTTTGAGCCCTGTGCATGGCAACGGGGGAGGGGATGGTGCCTGTGAGCAAGTGGACCCTCTACTGGATTATCTTGCCTCATGGGGATTGGCCTTCATGCTGCAGGAGGCCATCCACTGGGGTTAGTGCTGGCCCACACTCTACCTGGGAACTTTTCCCTGTCAGTCAGAGATCAGTGTGAACACAAAGAGAGGATCCGAAGTTTAGTAATTTAAAAAGGGCAGATGGGGACTTCCAGGGAGAACACACTGATGGCTCAGAGGCTCCCCTTCCGAGTCCTGCAGGTATCAGCACTTTTATCTCTTTTATGTCCTTTCTCTTGGTCCACAGCCTACTGCTCTGATGCCGAAGGGGAGGCAGAAAGTGCCACACTTGGATGCCCCCCTGGGCCAGCCCACCTGCCTCTGGCTGGAATTAGCCGGGCTCTTCTTACTGGTTCCCTGGGTCATGGGCCTGGCAGGGACAGGTGGGCCTGACGCCCAGGGTCCAGGGGGACTGAGCTGGGCTGTGCACCTGGACAGCCTGGATGGTGAGGGGGAGGAAGAGCCACTGGAGCGGCAGGCAGACGCTTTGGCCCAGGCAGCAGGGCTGGTGAACGCCGGACGCATTGGAGAGCTCCGGGGGCACTACCTCTTTGTCCAGCCAGCCGGGCTCAGGCAGACCCTGGGGGCGGAGGCCCTCCGACAGCAGGCGGAAGCTGTGCTGGCCAGGCATGAAGCCGTGCGCTGGCACTCAGAGCAGAGGCTGCTAAAGCGGGCCAAGCGCAGCATCCACTTCAATGACCCCAAGTACCCGCAGCAATGGCACCTGGTGAGTCCAGCCCTGCAGATTCAGTTTCAGATGGAAAGATTCTGGTCCACACCTTTTTATTTGTTTATTTATTTGAGGGTTGGGGTCTTGCCAGGCACGGTGCCTTACACCTGTAATCCTAGCACTTTGGGAGGCCAAGGCGGGAGGATTGCTTGAGTTCAGTAGTTTGAGATTGACCTAGGCAACACAGCAAGACCTCATCTCTACAAAAAATAACAACATAAAAAATAAGCTGGGCATGGTGGTGCAAGCCTATAATGGAAGGAATTGTCTGAGCCTCGAAGGTCAAGGCTACAGTGAGCCATGATCCTGCCACTGTAGTCTAGCCTGGCGACAGCGACACCCTGACTCAAAAGCAAATAAATAAATACAAATAAGAGACGGGGGTCTCACTCTGTCGCCCCTGCTGGAGTGCAATGGTATTGTCATAGCTCACTACAGCCTTGAACTCGGGCTCAAGCAGCCCTCCCACCTCCGCCTCCCAAGTGGCTAGGATCATAAGATAACTGAGATTACACCTGGCCCTCTTTCTGCAGGGGGCTTGGATTGTGCAGCTGCCTCCACCCTTTCCTAAGGGACCATTTCTGTGGTTATTTTCCCTCAAGTTCCAGCTCTTCTCTACTTTCTTCTAGTGGCTGCTGCTGCCAGGTTGTCAGGGCACACATTCCAGCCCTGCCACTTACTAGCATGTACCTCTGGGCCAGCTGCTTACCCTCTGCGCCTCAGTTTCTCTATCTGAAAAATGGAGCTTATAGTAGTAACCTCATACAGTTATGGCTAGGATAAGTGAATTAAAATATGACAAACACTTAGAACGGTGCCTGACACATGGTATGCCTGACACATGGTAAACACTACTATCTAAGTGATAGCTACTGACATTATTTGCATAATAATCACGTCATCCAACTCTGAACCCTAGCCACAGTTTCACCCTGAATCGCCCATTGCTGACACTGAACTTTCCTGGAGACCAAGGCTGCAGCAAAGCTCTTACCTGCCCCTCCTTGGCTCTGTCCCACCTAAACTGGAAATGACATTTGATCAGATTTCTTTGGTCTGTAACCTTTGTCTGGCTCTTTGGTGGAGGCCAAGGGTGAAAGGGGGCTGCTGGCTATCACTTTGTCTCTCTGTGTGCTGGACTGTGCGTCACTGGATTCCCACCCTGACTCTCTTACAGAACAACCGGCGGAGCCCCGGCAGGGACATCAACGTGACGGGTGTGTGGGAGCGCAATGTGACTGGGCGAGGTGTGACAGTGGTGGTAGTGGATGATGGAGTGGAGCACACCATCCAGGACATTGCACCCAACTATGTGAGTGGCCCTGGGATGATCCCTCCCACCCATGTCTTACCTCCTTGTTACCTCAGTCTTGTCCCCTTTCCTAGGGGTGTTTGGGCCAAACCAAAGGGCCTGGGAGGTGGGTGGTGTTCCTTCTCTCCATTTCCTCAGCCAGCATTCCAAGCTGGCAGGCAGGCCACAGCAGGTGGCTCTAGTCCAAGGGAGAGCGATCCCTGGAGGTGCTTCCTTCTTCCTGTTGTTACACCCTCCCTGGGGAGTAAGGAGTGGCCCTGTAGGCAACTTCCCTCTCCTTAGAAGTCCTGAGTACCTTTCTTTCTCTATAGCAAGACGACCTTTAGGTGGCCGTAAATCTCCAATATCCTAGACTTCTCAAGCCCTGGAGCAAGGGGCACATTCCTGTAACAGGCGAGAGAGAAGTTTGCTGGGAGCTGTGGCACTTCTCAGTTTTGTCCAGTGTCTTTTATGCATATCTTTTAGCCCCTGTGGATGCATATCTTTTAGCCCCTGTGGTTTGCAGATAGAGATGGACTTGCTGCCCTGGCTTTGAGTCCCAAACTCCCGGTTCCTTTCTCACCCTGAACTCCAGGACCTGACCCCTCTAACCAGTGAGTGACTGCCTATCACCCCTGAAATATTTCAGAGTCCTGAGGGGAGCTATGACCTGAACTCTAATGATCCTGACCCCATGCCCCACCCGGACGTGGAAAATGGTAACCACCACGGCACACGATGCGCGGGAGAGATTGCAGCTGTGCCCAACAACAGCTTCTGTGCCGTGGGCGTGGCCTATGGGAGCCGCATCGCAGGTGAGTCATGCATCCAATCTAGCCTTGGTAGGCTGCTTCCGTGACTGGCAGTCTTCCCTGCGCCCCTGCCCAGGCTAAAACGTCTTTATCCCACACAGAACCTAGAGCCAGAGCAAGCTTCTAATAGGTTTCTGTAGGACAAATCGGTTCATTGGCTTCTCAGTGCAGTGGTGTTTCAAATGTGTTTTCATATTTTTATTTTCATAACCTGCAAAGTGCCTTCTCATCAGTTCTTCCTCCATGACCCTCCGTGTGTCCCAACTCTCCCGTTCCCAGTGCTACTGACAGACATGGACTGCTCTTCATCCCTCCAGGAGAGCTGAGCAGCCCTGTTCCCCTCCGAGGCGGTTCTATGTTTCCTTCCCCTCTTAGTCCCAGTCCCTCCAGGCAGAAGATGAAGGGGATGAATGGGGAAGCCCTCCCCAAGATCTAAATCCATGCCTGGGGCCTGAAAATTGAATAGGCTGACTGCATTTCTCTTACTCCCCAGCAGGGGGCAGTAGCCCTCTGTAATGAGGCTACAGAGGGCGCCAGAAACCTGTGTCTGAGTCCCTTCTGCTGAAAGCCTATTCGTCCCTATGTGGTCACCAGGACGTGACTCACTGCATTTTAAAGGGTGAAATTGGGCATGCATCAGAGTAGTAATAGTAATGAGTACCATTTATATGAGTACCCCTTACTGAGCACTTTCTTCCTTTTTTTTTTTTTGATATGTGGTCTCACTATGTTGCCTGGGCTGGTTTCAAACTCTTGGGCTCAAGCGATCCTCCCACCTTAGTCTCACCACACCTGGCTTATTGAACACCTATGCGTCAAGCAATGCACTAGGTGTTTTACATGATTAAGGCAAAGACAAGAAGGAAACCTTGGTTACCTACATTCTAGCCTATGACTCTCCTGCCAAACCCCATGATGGTTAAACTCTAAGTTCTAGCATTACATTCAAGAATATTTTGGGACAAGCAATGCAAATACGTGCACAAAAGAGCATAGAGGGAAAAGTAGCCTCCCACATACAGTTCCCCACCCCCAGTTCCCCATCTGGGGGGCCAGCATTAGTGATGAGCTGCTGTGACCTCCATTGCCTAGGGATCCGGGTACTGGATGGACCTCTCACAGACAGCATGGAGGCTGTGGCGTTCAACAAGCACTATCAGATCAATGACATCTACAGCTGCAGGTGAGGCAGAGCTGCAGGGAGAGGGAAGAGGCTGGAGCCTCTGGGACACATCTGCCAACAAAACACCAGCAAGATGAGCTGACTCAGACAGACTGAGCAGGGGTCTTCTCATTGTGTTCAGTTGCTAAGACTGTGGCCCTAACTTCCCCATACCTCCAGCCACAAGGTTCTCAGTCTTTAGCCCTAACACCCCAATAATCAGGTAGCCACATGAGAAGCCCCAGCCTGTCCCACATTTATTTGTTTTCTAAACTCATTTGGCCTCTGGAAGAAAGTGGGCTCTCCTCTCCAAGCACAGGTAAGCTGGATGCCCAACCCCAATCCCACCACCCTATGTACATGACATGCAGCCTCAGGTCATGACTGTGGCAGGCTGGATAAGGAGAAACTGGGATTGGATGGCCCCTGTGGCATTGATGGCACCTGTTCTTCCCTCTAGTGGTACCTCCCTTGAATCCATGACATCATCCACAGGGTCCATTTAGAGAAAAAGTCAAGAACTCAGCCTAAGAACCAAGAACTTAAACAGGTGGAGCGTCCCTTCATGGGTGCTCTGTCATCGGGCCTACTGGTAGATCCCTAGGTCAGGAGAGGAGGACCCCTGTCACTCTCTGCCACTATGTATAACATAGTGCTCCTTGGTACCTGAGAAGGACTTTTTGGGGCTACATTCAAAGTTGTCCTAAACTGGGGACATTTCCAAGGAAAAGACCTTTAGCATGGACTTCTGTTTTCTACTTTGGAGGAGGGATGGGCCTTTGAACCCCATGTCTTTTCCTCATAGGAGTCTTTAATTGGAAATTTGGGAGGAACGTAAAGGCCACAGGTAGAAGAATGGCCGGTGAGACTGGGCGGCCTGGGTGGGTGACCACAGCCTGTCTCTGGCACTTCTCTCTGGCTATTTCTCAACAGTTGGGGACCAGATGATGACGGGAAGACAGTGGATGGCCCCCATCAGCTTGGAAAGGTAACTGAACTGCACAAAAGTCTAAGAGACTTGGATACCCTCTTCGTTCAGTCCTGGAAGAGCTGTTACAAGTAGATCCCACCACACCCCCATTCATAGTGCCCGGCCTGTGCCGTCCCGCCCTGCTGCCTCCTCTTAGGAAGAGTACACCTAACCTTGGGGAGGGAAGCATGGGGAACACTAGTTCTTAGTGTCTTAATTTGCAATTATTCTCTTTGGTCTTGTGAGCTACCATTCTTGGCCCCACCCTGTCCTCTGGCAAGCAGAGTACATCCATCAGGTGTTTAGCTAACAGTGCCCTCCCATCTTGTGTCCATCTTTAAATTTTTTTTGGCCTAGTGCCCTTTGAGGTTTTTTTCCTTTTCTTTCTAGAAGGGATGGAGAGAGTAGCTGGTGTCTTACCTAGCGGTCTTTCTGTGAGTTCCTCAACTGATACCCTGACATTGTGCTCCTCAGGCTGCCTTGCAACATGGAGTGATCGCTGGCCGCCAGGGTTTTGGGAGCATCTTTGTGGTAGCCAGTGGTAACGGGGGTCAGCACAACGATAATTGCAACTACGATGGCTATGCCAACTCCATCTACACAGTCACCATAGGTAGGGACCTCACAGCGCGTGTGTGTGTGTGTGTGTGTGTGTGTGTGTGTGTGTTGCTCAATGGGGAGGGGATTGTGTATCTTGGTGTGCCCCGGCTTCACTCTGTCTAAATGTGTGAGCGCAATCATCTCTTTGTGCTCAGATAGGACCAGCCTTTCCCTCAGGATCTTGGGACTTCCTCAGGTATCACCATAGCCTGGGAACGCCTTCAGCCCATCACCTGGAGCTCACCCACCTGCCTCCTCCCCACCACCACTGGCCAGGCCTCTGCCCTGGCCTCTGTTTCTGTGGGCCCCTTGCCTCCTGCTGAAGCCTCCCCTGACCTCTCACTGGCTTAAATTAAGTGTCCTTCGTCTGTGCTCCCAGTCAGAGCACTTACCACCCCAAATGTATTCTTTTTTTTTTTTTTGAGTCAGAATCTCACTCTGTCATCCAGGCTGCAGTGCATGGCATGATCATGGCTATGACAGCCTCCGCCTACCGGGCTCAGGAGAGGCTTCCGCCTCAGCCCTCCAAGTAGCTGCTACCATAGGCACGCACCACCACACCCAGCTAATTTGTTTACTTGATTGCAGAGACGAGATCTTGCCGTGTTGGCTAGGCTGGTCTCAAACTCCTAGGCAGTTCTGTCACCTTGGCCTCCCAAGGTGTTGTGATTACCGGCATGAGCCACTGTACCTGGCCTGTATTTGCTTACCTGGCTCCCTGACTATGGCTCCTCGAGACCAGAACTGTGCCTTTTTCATGTGGCCCTAATGTTCCGCAGTGTGTAACTCATAGTAGATGCTTCATAAATGTTGGGTAAAAGTGAACATGTGAATGAATAAGTAGAGGGAGAGGTGGAAGTCTCCCAGTTTTACCTTGGAGCCTATTGAAGGAATGTTTGGTTTTTTTTCTTGAGTTGGAGTCTCTCTCTGTCACCTCAGCTAGAGTGCATTATCACACTCACAACCACTGCAGCCTCGACCTGCTGGGCTCAGGTGATCCTTCCACCTCAGCCTTCCAAGTAGCTGGAACTACAGGCAGGCACGTGCCACCACGTCTGGCTAATTGTTTGATTTATTGTAGAGGTGAGGTCTTGCCAAGTTGCCCAGGCTGGTCTCAAATCCCTGGGCTTAGGCAATCCTCTCGCCTCTTCCTCCCAAAGTGCTGGGATTACAGGCTTGAGTCACCACGCCTGGCCTTGAAAGGATGGTATTAAGGTGCAGAATACCCTCTGCCACTCAGCTGCCTGTTCGGATGAGGATCGTTGGCACTCTGAGGGACCTGGACCACTCAGATCATGTTTCCAACTCAGGACAGTTGCCTTGCAATGATGACTCAAGACAGCTGATTTATCAAGCCCCAGATGCTGGGCCTGCTCCCCATCTCAGTGTCTTCCCCTCCTCTGTCCCTAGGTGCTGTGGATGAGGAGGGACGGATGCCTTTCTACGCAGAGGAGTGCGCCTCCATACTGGCAGTCACCTTCAGCGGTGGGGACAAGATGCTCCGGAGCATCGTGAGTGCCTCCTGGGCCCTCCACGCCCTGCTCCTGCCGTAGGCACCACATCGTAGGCGTCACCCCATGCTCCCGGCCCCCGCTTCCCAGTCCTGGCCCTCAAGTCCCCCTTCCCCCACAGAGCTTAACCCTTCAGCTTCGCCTCTATTGGGCAAGCAGGCCTGAGGACTCTGGACGCATCTGTGGAAATGGTTTTTATCTTAAAAACTTGGACTCAAGGACAAATACATGTACATACTGTCTTAGAAACAAACAGCTTCTCTGAAATATCTTCCTTTGGTAGAAATTGGGCTTTCGCTAATTTCGGTGGACTTTAAAAAAAATCGCCTTTCCGTTCGTCCTCAGTCCTTAGATAAACACTGTGACTTCTGGTCATGTTCATTCTCAGGAGTAAAGCTAGTGGCTGTTTTTATGGGATGGGTGGGAAAAGGAGGCAGGGGAATGTCTCGTGTCAACACAACAGAGAGCACTCTCTCCAGAGCTATAATTGGAGCCATAGCAAATGACATTTCAGGGGAGTGGAGCTTCCCTGGCCTGTGGAACCCATTTAAAGAATTCAGAGGCTGTTGCCTGAGCCCGGCTGGGCTTAGCGCCATCCTAGCAGGGTTAAGCCAGGTCTCTAGACCAGGTCTCCTAGAGCTCCTTGCCTGTCCCTTTGCCCATCATATGTCTTATGGGGAGGGGAGGCTCCAGGCAAGAGCTGGGCTGCAGCCAGGTGGTGTCAGATTTCTCCAGTGGCTGGGTTGAGAGGTCTCTCTGGGGCCATTGGGAATCAGGCTGCTTTGTCTTCTGCCGAGTCAAATTTATTTTCCAAAACTGAAATTTTGTTATGCCAATAAATGACTTCTGGTCAACACAATGTTCCAAGGCTCTGCCCTAGGGAGAAGAGAAAAGGGAATGGACTCAAGTAGAAAGGCACGGGAGGCTGGACTCTGTGCACAGAGGGCGCCCCACCCCAGGCAGGCTGAGCTAGGAGGAAGGGCAGGAACATGCTATGCTCCCTGTGCCCTGGCAGAACTCCGGGAAGCCAGCTCGCCCCGCCCCAGTCAGGACCTAAGAAGGCTCCGTACATAATTGTCATTCTTACTCCGCGGTACCTGGCTTTCTCCTCCTAACTCCACTCAACTGCTCACCCCCTCCTCCATCTTCCATCTGAACTGTAATTTGTCCAGAAGTGAAAAGAGACTTTGCTTAGCCAAGTTCCTGTCCCCGGAATGTCCTTGCCTTGGAAACCCTGTTGCCATTTCTACTCAGTGATCAGGGTAGCAGGTAGAGCTGTCTTTCTCAGGGCAGAGGCTGGGGCATGGGCTTCCCACCCTTTGGCTGCCTAGGGAGCTTCCCTGGACCGTCCACAGCCTGCCCAGAGTTCCTGCCACCACCAGCAAGCTCATGGGTTTCACAACTGCACACTAGATTGTCACTGCACGACTGTTTCCTTAACAGGGAAAAAATCAATCTGCTCCCTGGCACAGACCAGGCTTCCCACTCAGTGAGACTACAACTGAGAGAGTGTTTTCCCCTTTTTTCCTGGGAGCGCACAGTGTCTGGGTGAAAATTACTTCTCTTGGCAGCTGCTCTAACAGCTGGGAGGAAAGCAGTAAGTACAATGGAGAGAGGGCAGCCCTTGGCAGAGGATGGCACCCTGGTGTCTGACCCAGAAGAGAAGTTCGGAAGGAGAAAATCTCTGATCTGAGCACCAGCACACCGTGGAGCAGGTGTAGGCGAGGCCCTCCTCAGCTAAAACCACAGAGGCACCAAGGCTGATGAAAGCCTGAAAAGTGCTTGATGCCAGGCAGATGCCATCTTTCCTCCCCCATGCTCACCTCCCCCTCAGAACCACAGGTGGAGAAGCAAGCGGGAGTGTGGCTCATTGGGCCTGGCCCAGAGCAGTAAGACAGCTTGTCCCATTGAGGCATAGAACAGGGGAGGCAAACTGTAGACACTGAGCCCACGTCAAGCCCGGGGATGGGCAAGGACACAGTTCTCGCTCCCCAGGAACACAATCCCTGTGTTCACACCAACGTTGCTGCAGCCTCTGTCACGGAGCTGCCAAGTTGGATTTCCGTGAATGATGCCGTCATTGTTGTCCCAACTCCAGCTGGGGCCCAGTAGCTCCCCTGGCCACTTCCTCTGTTTAGCTTGGTCTTGGGAGTTAGAGGATTTGGAGTGGGGGGTTGGGGTGGAAAATTAGGGAATAGAAGCAAGAATATTAGGGATGTGAGAATCAGGAAGCCCTTGTCTGCACTGGAGCCCTGTCCCATATCTGTCTCCTATCCCCCACAGCCACACCCTTAGCCATAACTAGTTTTTATTATCCTTGTGTCTATTCTCCAGATGTTCCCTTAGAAGGCCAGAAGGATTAAGGATTTTCTTTGTCCTGACCTACTAGTGGGCCCCTCTCCCATCAAAGATTCAGCTCTAACAAAGGAGGGATCCACGTAGAGACTTGTTTTGAGGACCAGTCCTGTACCCTCCCTCAATGACACCCTTGAATTCAGTTTCTAGTTTCCTTCCTTCCTTCCTTTCTTCCCTCCTTCCCGGGTTCTCTCTTTGTTGCCCAAGCTGGAGTGCAGTGGCACAGTCATAGCTCACTGCAGCATTGACCACCTGGGCTTAGGCAGTCTTCCTGCCTGGTCCTCCCAAGTAGCTGGGACTCCAAACGCGTGCCACCACACCTGGCTGATTTGTATGTGTGTGTCTGTATTTAGAGATGGAGTCTCACTATGTTGTCCAGATTGGTTTTGAATTTCTCCCATCTCAGCCTCAAGGGATCCACCCACCTCAACCTCTGAAATAGCTGGGACTAGGTGCACGGTCACCACGCCCAGCTTTGAACTCAGTCTCTAACCCACTCCTCCCTACCCATTCCACTTCCCAGGTGACCACTGACTGGGACCTTCAGAAGGGCACTGGCTGCACTGAGGGCCACACAGGGACCTCAGCTGCAGCACCTCTGGCAGCTGGCATGATAGCCTTAATGCTGCAGGTGCGGCCCTGCCTCACATGGCGTGACGTCCAGCATATCATTGTCTTCACAGCTACCCAGGTGAGATCCCAGCAGGTAGACAAGCGACCTGGCCCAGCCGACTCCAGAGTTTGAGTATCAGAAGGCTTCAGATTCTAAATGTCCCAAATGTTAGGCACCAAGTCCCTTTCAAAGTTGCGTGTGTAAGAAACAGGTGTAGGTACCCCAACAGAACCACAAATCTGAACTTATTTGTACCCATTCTGATGCCTTCTCACCCAGCTCTGGTGGGGCTCTCCTTTGTGCCTCCTGGTTCCCTCTCTAGAAGCAAGCCACCGGGGTCCAAGGGCTTGGGCTTTGACCTTTTGTTCCAGCTTCCCTTGGGAAATCCATTCCCAGTAGCTTTAGTGGGAGAGTCTGGACTAGATTAGCCAGCAGGGCAAGCCAGAAAGCCAGAGTCAAGTTGTTGAGATGACACTGGCAAGAGACTAACCAGGACCTCTGTCCTTTCAGTATGAGGATCGCCGTGCAGATTGGGTCACCAACGAGGCAGGCTTCAGCCACAGCCACCAGCACGGGTTCGGCCTACTCAATGCTTGGAGGCTTGTTAATGCAGCCAAGGTGAACAGGTGTGGGCAGGGCCGGTGCCCTGGGTGGAGTGACCAAGGGAGGGGCTGAGTGCCTAAAATGTTGCCAGGCTCATCGTAGGTTTTTAATAAATGTTCGTTCATTTCATGTGCCCTCATCCCATTTTACAAATGAGCAAGCAGACTCGCTGCTATAATTGAAGTTTCCAAACTATTCGTAAAGAACATGTGGGACTTGGGATGCTCTGGCTCTCATCTTCACCTGGACACAGCCATTTCTTTAGGGTCCTTGATCCAGGGAGTCAGCGGGAGCCTTGGGAATGAAAGAATGTGATGAGGAGAGGACAATGAAGAGAGCTTCAGGAGTCCTGTCGATGAGTGTGTGTGTGTGCATGTGAGTGCGATCGGTCTTGTTTGTTAATATGCCATCCCCTTTCCTTCAATAGATCTGGACATCTGTCCCTTACTTAGCATCTTACATCAGTCCCATGTTAAAAGAGAACAAGGCTATCCCTCAGTCCCCCCGTTCACTGGAGGTCCTGTGGAATGGTAAGTAATCAGCACAGAGGGAGTTAATCTCAGGCCTGAGGTCTGGCGGGGTGGTAGGGAAGTTAAATTCATCCTCCCTGCTGGGTTCTCCTCCTTCCTTAGGAGCTGAGCTCCAGCCAAACCTGCAGAGTTTTCTTTGACCATTTTAGGACATGTTGCGGCTTCTGAGTTGGCTGGCCCCAGGCTGCTTAAACAAGACCTTTCTCCTGAGTTGCTAGTAGTGAAAGGAGCTGCTGAGCAACTGACTCCAGGAGGCGGGAGGCGTGGGACTGGGGCTTGGGAGACTAGGCAAGAGTTGAAAGGAGTTCTGTGACTTTCCTGCTAAGACCTTGCCAGAAAACTCTATTCAGCCCACTGGCCTTCGGATGAAGTAGAGGAGCTAAGAATTTCTCCCTTTGAGTCTCAGGCTTGTCTAACAGAGAGGCAGACAAAGTCTGTTGGGGATAGGACAGAGTGTCTGCAGAGGTCTCCCCAGACTCCAGTTACCCATCCTCTGCCCCCGCCTCCATGGCATCCAGGTTCACCAGGATTGTCTGAAGGGGTGAGGGGTGTATACCGTCTAAAGAAGTCAGCGACCCGGGTTTTATGTTGAGTACAAAGGTGGAGGCCCCTCCCAGAGCAGAGGGCAGCTGAATGGGAATGTTTGTGGCAGGGGATCCTCCGCACATCACCAGTCTTCCCTACCGCCAGCTCCTTGGGGAATTTCTGTTTCCTTGAATAATTTTGACGTGCAGAATTATTCACTACTTTTTGTGAAGGCTAAAGCATGTCATACTTAATGCCCAAGCTGGAACTCTGTCCTCACTTTTCCTGACCTCCTAGGAAGTGATCAGCCCAGAGCCAGGGCAAAAGGAATGGCCAAAGAAGGCCGCTCCAAAGGGACGATGAGGGGCAGCTTCCTTTGGGGGAGGCTTCACCGAAAAGAGCTGGGTTGTCTCTCTCTCCAGCCTGTCTGACTTCCCTCCACATGGAAGGAAACCCATGGCCCAGCCATTGCCTTTTCCGTAAAAGGAATGTTATCTTGGAAAGGGCATAAAGTATCAGCCAAGGCAGAGAAGTTCAGAAACATGTCCAGGAATGCAGTGCAGTCAGAACCCCCGGGTTTGCGCTCGTGTGTCTTGGAGATCCTCACCTCCCACCCAGGACTGGCTTCGTCGCATCTGTCAAGAGAGAGTTGACTTCAAAGACTTCGAAGAGGGCTAGGGTCCCCTCTAGCTTTGTCATTCTGTGCTTCCCACAAACCAGGGATGTTGCCCCAGAATGTCTGTCAAATTTCCCCAGGTATTGAGGCATCTGGCAACTGGCTGCTTGTTACTAAGAAGCAAGAGAAGGACGACAACTTGTCCTAGGTGGAGGAGAGTGGAGGTGGTTTAGTAGAAAGAGCAGGAGTAAGAGAAGGGAGGGCACTGGGCACAGTGGCTCACACCTGTAATCCCAGCACTTTGGGAGGCGGAGGCAATAGGATTGCCTGAGCTCAGGGGTTTCAGACCAGCCTGGGCAACTTGGTGAGACCTTGCCTCTACAATAAATCAAAAAATTGGGCCAGGCTCGGTGGCTCAGCCTGTAATCCCAGCACTTTGGGAGGCCGAGGCGAGTGGATTGCCTGAGCCCGCGGGTTCAAGACCCACCTGGGCAACTTGGCGAGACCTTGTCTCTACAATAAATCAAAAATGAGCCAGGCGCGGTAGCGCGCGCCTGTAGTTCTGGCTACTTGGAAGGCTGAGGTGGAGGGATCGCTGGAGCCCAGCAGGTTGAGGTTGCCATGGCTGGGAGCATGCCACTGCCCTCCAGCCTGGGTGACAGAGTGAGACTCCAACTCAAAAATCATAAATAAATAAGCCATGCATGGTGATGCACACCTGTAGTTCCAGCTATTCAGAAGCCTGAGGCAGAAGGATCACCTGAGCCCAGCAGATCAAGGTTGCAGTGGCTGTGACCGTGCCTCCGCACTCCAGCCTGGGTGACAGAGTGAGACTTGGACTCAAAAAATAAAAAATAAAAAGAGAAGAGAGGGAAAGAGTCAGGCAGTTTGGCCTATGAAGCCCTTCACCTGTTTGGAGGGCAGCAAGCAGGACTGCTGAGACTTCAGAGGCCAGTGAAGGCATCTTCTCTGACATGACTATGTTTGCCCCTGAGCAGACAGAACAGAAGGGATGAGCTAGTGGTCTTGTTTGGAGGCTGAAGGACGTAAGTCTGGTTAGTAGAGAGTTAGCAGCTTAGTCCCAGACAGTCAGGAATCCCCTTCCCCAGCAACCAAACTGTCATCGTCATTTCCACCAGGACCCGTTTGCTTCAGTGTCTGGGGCTGGAAAGTGAACTTTTTTGTAAAGCAGAGGGAGCAGAGCATCCGTAAGAGAGGAGATGAAATTGCTCTAAGACTCTAGAGGAGCATTGTCCCATAGAAGTTTCTACAGTGATGAAACCGTGCTGTCTGTGCTGCTCAGTTCAGGAACCACTAGCTTTCTGAGTCTGTAAAACATTTAAAATGTGACTGGTGTGACCGAGGAACTAAGTGTTCATTATATTTTATGATAATCGATTTAAAATAACATGTGTGGCTGCTGGCTACCCTACTGAGCACTGCAGCTGAAGAGCAAGATGGCGCCTTCCACTGGCAGGAGGTTATGAGGGAAAGGGGACTTTCAGACCTGACCCTGGGTCTGAAATCCCTCTCCAGGGAGAGGGTGGAGGAGGGTAGAGCTTTGGGAAGGGTGCCTTACACAGGAGAGTCCTGAACGCCCAGTGTACTCTATCCTTTTATCTTACGTGCAGTCTGAGTACACTGGCCAACCCTCTGCCTGGGCAGTGAATCCTGTTCCTTCACCTCCTCACATCTTCCCTCTTCAACCCAATATTTCCCTCTACCAATTCGTCCTTTCTTCAGATTAAAGTCCTTGCCAGCAGCCTTTTCAGATGAATCACCTAGATCCCAGTCTCTTATTCTGATCCCTCATCGGTGAGAGGGATAGAGATGATTATAACTTCCTCAGGATTGTGGGCAAATAGAGCCCTGGCATCTTCTGGCACAGAGGGTGAGAGTTGAAAAAGACCTCAACTTAAAAGGCCAAATGGTAATAATAAGCAGAGGATTGTCAGCTAAGACTTGAGTGCTTTTTATGTGCTGAGCACTGTTTTAAGGATTGGCTCATTTAATGTATTGACTCATGTAATTCTGATAGAAATAACTATTTGTGTGTGTGTGTGTCCAAGTCTCACTCTGTCACCCAGTCTGGAGTGCAGTGGTACAATCACAGCTCACCGCAGCCTGGACCTCTCAAGCTCTGGGGAATCATTCTTCCTCAACCTCCTGAATAACTGGGACTACAGGTACACCATGTGCATTTTTTTTTTTTTTAGAAATCGGGTCTTGCTATATTGCCCAAGCTGGACTCGAACTCTTGGGCTCAAGCAATCCTCCCACCTCAGCCTTCCAAAGTGCTGGGATTACAGGCATGAGCCACTGTGCTTGTCCCTTTTTGGGTTTTATTCTGTTCCATAACATGTCATTTACTCTTTTGTAGGCCCTTCTCTGCCACATCAAGCCTCCTCCAACTATACCATAAATATTTTCCTTCATTTTTCTATTCCTAAATCACTGTATACTGTTGATAATCCACCAGTACATTGCATTTAACACATTCAAAATTTTAGATCTCATTATCACCTCTCAAAAGCCAGCTTGCTTTCCAAGTTTCTCCCATTTATATCTATGTATTATAATTCCCTAGGCCCCCAAACTTGAAACTCTGGGGTTTTCTTCTTTTTTTTTTTGAGTTGGAGTCTCACTCTGTCACCCACACTGGAGTGCAGTGGCTACTCCCGGCCACCGCAGCCTCGACCTGTTGGGCTCCAGTGATTCTTCCGCCTCAGCCTTCCACTACAGGCGTGTGCTACCATGCCCGGCTAAGGACATGACTCTTGCCCTCAGAGCTCATGATCTGACAGAGTAGACAGTCTAGTTTGTAGTTATAGTATGGTGTTATAAGCACTGTGACAGATAAGACAGCACAATGGAGAGACGTCTCCTTCCACCAGGGAAAACAGGGAAGGATCTTCAAAGAATCTGGCGACTGGCCAATGTTTTATCAAGTAAACTAACCAGGGGAAAAGGTGAGGGAAGGACATCAGGCAGCAGGAATGGCGTGCAAAACTGAGGCTGTCCTCAGGGAGTTGCAAGGGGCTCAGCACAAAGCTGGGGGTGGCAGGGCCAGGTTGCAAGAACCACGTGGACTATAGTAGGGAGTTTGGACTTTATCCTAAAGGCTGTGGGGAGACTTTGAGAGAGCTTGTCACCAGTTGGTGTTAGCAGAGAGGGAGAGGGAGAGGGAGAGATTCCCAACTTTATCTCTTAGACATGCTGACATCTTGGCTGACGGCTGATAGGCTGCCTGGGGACCCCACCAGAAAAATTCATGAGGGGAAGAAGTGGGTAGAGTCAGTGAAACAAACATGGTGGCCAGATATTGATAACTGCTGAAGTTAGGTATTGTGAACATCTGTTGTCTCTACCTTTTTATATGTCTGAAATTTTATGTAATAAAAATTTTGTACATATATGTATATAAATATACTCATATTTATGTTTACATTAATAAATATCATATGCATGTATATATGTTTTTTGGAAATGGAGTCTTGCTCTATTGTCCAGGCTGGAGTGCAGTAGCACAATCATGGTTCACCACAGCCTTCACCTCTTGGGCTCAGGCGATCCTCCTACCTCAGCCTCCCGAGTAGCTGGGGTATAGTCATGTGCCACCATGTCTGGCTAATTTCTTGATTTTTCTGGAGAGATGAGGTCTTACAATGTTGCCCAGGCTGGTTTCAAACTCAATTCAGCAATCCTCCCACCTCAACCTCCCAAAGTGCTGGGATTATAGACATGAGCCACCATGCCTGGCCCTACACTCGCTAATTCTTTAAAAATTTTGTAGAGATGGGATCTCGCTATGTTGCTCAGGCTGGTTTCAAACTCCTGGCCTCCCAAAGTGCTGGGATTA